TCCGTCAGGATCCGACAGGTCCGTCAGGATCCGACAGGTCCGTCAGGATCCGACAGGTCCGTCAGGATCCGACAGGTCCGTCAGGATCCGACAGGTCCGTCAGGATCCGACAGGTCCGTCAGGATCCGACAGGTCCGTCAGGATCCTGACGCCGGAATCAACGACCTGGGTAAAGCAGAGTGGTTAGCGAGAAAATAAATCAATCTTATAAACATGAACGACATTGACCTATCGGTTTGCGGAGAAGCTACCGAGTACCGCTCAGAAAGTTCGGAAGGTGACTCGTGATTATATCATCTAGCACTCGGTAGTTTTCTTATCTAAATCAGTTTGTAACACTATTTTCTAACCCCTACACACGTAATTTTGTTTTGAAACGATGTCATCAATGCAAAATAAATTTTCTTTCTTTTCTGTTCGTTTAAAACGACCTTTTCTCTCCTTTGTAATTGCACAACATTATAGTTTCATAGTCACCACATTCTTTCTTTTGTTTTTTTAGAAAAATGCTTTAAGAAAGCATGTGATAAAATAGGCAGCTGTAATGTTGTGCAATTACCGAGGAGAGAAAATGTCTTTTTAAACGAATAGCAAAGAAAGAAAATTTATTTTGCATTGGTGACGTCGTTTCAAAACAAAGTTACGCGTGTAGCGGTTAGAAAATAGCGTTACAAACGGATTTAGGTAAGAAACCTATCGAGTATTGGACGTTACAATCACGAGTCGTCTTCCGAACTCTCCGACTAAGCATAGGGTGCCACTTTGAACGTACTAGCTCCTGGCAAATATCTCGTAAGAGCTGTTTTCTTTCTTTTAGTTATTTAAAGCAAATGGGTACTCCTTATGTCTCACAACCATCATTTTCTAACTTACAAAAACAACAAGATGAACTGCTTGTTCTTCAGAGTATTTTTGGCAGTGAAAATATTCGCTCTCTCAACTCAAACAGCCAACAATATGAAGTTTCTATTGAGTTTGATCGTCTTCCTACACCATTCTTTCTTAAGCACCGAACAACAACTCCAGTTACATTTTTACCACCAATCATTCTTACAATTCAGTTACACGATCAGTATCCGTCAGACTATTCATCGACATTTCTCTTGACTTCATTCTACATGTCTAAACGGCAGCTTCAAGAACTGTGTGAGAAAATGGATTCACTGTTTATTCAGAATGAAGTAATTGTTTACCAGTGGATTGAACTGATTAAAGATGAAGTCTGTGGGAAGAGTGAATTTGTTTTGGATGAAGAAGACATGGACGGAGAAGGGTAAGTTCAAGAGTATGGAATTTACGATGAGTAAGGAAGAACGCGCTGCGGCTGCTGCATAAGCACTTGGGAGCAGAGATTTTTTCAACTCACAAGTCAACTCAAGCTTTAGTTTTCCGAGTCAAGCCTGAAAGTCGAAACGTCACCATCTCTGCTTCTGTTAGAGCCCCCTAACGACTCAAAATGAAGGCTTTATCCGAGCTCAAGAGATGTCTTTCTCGTTCTTCTCTCCGTTTCAAGATACGACGATCCACGTGCTCTCTCCACCTACACTCCCTCTCAAATCAACGAAGTCTACCAACAACTTCTCGACTATAATCGCCGTCGTCTGCACATCGAGTTTCAGTCTACCTTACATCAGTGTGTTATCTGCACACAGGAAATACCTGGTTCTCAATTCCTTCGTTTCCTGAAATGCCAGCATTACTTCTGTTTCCAGTGTCTGTTGGATTATACCGTTTTGCATATTAACAGCGGAAGTGTTGAGGAGTTGACATGTCCAGATCATAGCTGCCAGCTGCCGTTATTGCCAACAGAAATTAAACAAATTCTGAAAAAATCAAACAATGAGGAATTGTACGACAAATATGAACGACTGACGTTACAGAAGAGTTTGGAACATATGACAGATATTGTCTGGTGTCCAAGGTAAGGAAAGAATAGAATGACGGTAAGGTCAACACTTTTGCGCATGACTGAGATCAACACTTTATGAAAGGAAAAGAACGAGAAAATAATTACTAAAACTGATTGTAACTCTCTAGTCGAGCGAAAAAAGCCGTTCTTTGCTCAGTTATGAAGATTCAAGTAGTTGTTTCTGAAGAATAAGAAGTTATAGCCCATTGTTTCAGCAGATCAGTCATAATCTAAAGAAAGCTCAGAAACCACATTTTTAGGACAAATGTTTTCTGTTTATTAACTAATTCTATTTGTTCTGTCAAGACCTGAAATATTCAGCAACAGTTTGATCCATGTTCGATCGTTTAAAAGACTCTTTTCCATGACATATCTTTTGTTTCTATTGTACTGATCGGGTTGCTCTCACCACATTTAGGAGAAAGCAGTCACAAAGAAAACGACAGAAAAACTTATTTTTTTGCCGTTTTCTTCGTTCCATTTTTGTGTCAAGGTACCAAAACCAAGCAGTAATTACTCTTTCCAACTTGTTCCAAAACGTTTCGTTATGTAACTTGCTCTTTTTTAAATTCCATCGCAACGCTTGTGGCTTTAGAAAGATAAAAGAAATTCGAGAGAAAAGTACGATTTCGACTACATTTGAGAGAAGAGTCTTTAGCGCCTGCAACATATTTTGTGACTTTAAAAGGTATACACAGGTGGATGTCTAAGTTTATTTCCGAAAATGTAAACAACGCATCTGAGTTCTCAGAGCGCTTCTTCGCCCTGTTATAATCTGGCTTTATTTTGTTTTCTTTTTCTCTTTACAGATGTCAACAACCGGTTCTCACCTCGGACAAAGCTACTGACAAACTGTCAATGTGTTCTGCCTGCCACTACTCCTTCTGTAAAAAGTGTAAAGAAACCTATCACTCAGAAACTCCGTGTCCACAGGAAATTGAAGCTATACGATTGAAACGTCAACACGAAAACTTGCAGAAACAACTGGTAGCGATTGGTTTCACTCCAAAAGATCATGAGTATCTTCTCAAAGAAATACTAGCATATGAAACAATTGAGCTCAATACACGTCAATGTCCTAATTGTAGGGTTAAAATCGAGAAAAATGGCGGCTGTAGTCATATGTTTTGTCAACGATGTCGAACGAGTTTTACATGGGAACAAGCCTTAGTCCCAGTACAAAATACAGCAACAACTCTTCTCGTTAAGGAACTAGGTGACGATGTAGATAAGATTCTAAAACATTTAAAAGATTCAGCAGCGGGAGAAACAGAAAATTTAGAACTTTTAACTTTGATTGAAAATGCAGTTTATACACGAACAAAGCCGTGTCCTTATGAAGGGTGTAATCAGCTAAATGTAATGAGTTCAAATTCAAATAACTGGATTATCTGTATTAGTTGTCGACAGAGTTTTTGTTTCCGGTGTGGAAGAGAATTTGTTAGCCCGGTGCAACATTTTGCTGCAAAAAGTAAGTGTAAGCAATATGTACAGTTGAAGAGAGTAATGGATTGATCGTTGTGTTTGCTTTTCTTTGTTTTGAAAAGTGTTTTTGTTTTGAAAATAAAAGTGCAAGCAACATGCTGAGTTGACGTTTACTAGTGTTAATACTCCCTTTCGCTTTGGAGAATAGAAAAATATCTCTTTTTGCTGCTATTTTACGCCAGAATGAAGTCAGATTCCTATTTTGAACGAGTAAATGATTTTTTCCAGTTAACATGTAGAACAAATACAGATTTGAATTCTCTATATCTGAAAATGTGAAATTAAATATTTTTCATTGCTTACTCTAATCTGACATGTGACCTAGTCAAAAATTCATAGATTCAGGCTGACTTCGATGGCCAACGGAATTTTTCAAAAATCGTTTTTCCAAAACGTTCTACGCTCAGTTATCTACATTTCCTGTAAATAACGCTCGTCATCAGTTTGTCTTCGTTGAGAAAAGTGATAACCAATTATCAGACCCGATCGGCCAGGTTATTTCGCTTTTATGATACATTTCTTTTAAAGTTAACTCCAGCGAACAAAGACGCGGCGAATGAGACGTATATCAGCATTTGAAATTGGCAGATGCATGCATCAAAGCTGAGTACAAGCTTTCGAACACACTGTTTTAATACTTCCCATTGATTCAGCCTTTTCTCGGTCATGGCAATGTTTAATTGTGGGAGTAGGGATGCACCAAACCCGAACTTATGGAAGTTCGAGTTCGAGACTAGTTATGATTTCGTGCGAGGAAACCTATCCAAGTGATACCTTCCGATTTCGTTCGTTTATATGTCGATCGATAGAAGGTATCGAGCTAGTAAAAAGCCTAAAAGGATATCTGCTACCAGCTCTTGAGGTTCCGGTTTTCTGGAAAATTAGTTTTTCAAGAACTCTAAAAAATAACCAAAACCATTTTTAATGAGACATGACTGTAGCCCGCAAATTTCTGATTAAAATGAGACATCTCCCAGCTCTACACGATCTTTCTTTGCAAAGTTATAGAATTTACAAGAAAAGCTCTAAATTAATTTCTTCTTATTTCTGTAGCTTTGAGCTGGCAGTGAATATGTAGGGCCTTTCTTATAAATTCTATAACTTTTCAAAGGTCATGTAGAGCTGGGAGATGGCTCATTTTAATCAGAAATTTGCGGGCTACAATCATGTCTCATTAAAAATGGTTTGGCTACTTTTTAGAGTTCTTGAAAAACTGATTTTCCAGAAAACCGAAACTTCAAGAGCTGCCAGCAGATATCGTTTTTTTTAAAACCAACAGTACAAGAATAGACTGACATATTTCTCTTTCAGGTCTTTGATCTGACTTTTCAAAAGTCCTAGAAAACTTAGTTCGAGAAAATATTCTTTGTTAAGAAACGATGGGGTCAAGTCTTCTGTTTCGAATGACAAAAAACACAACTCTCTATCCTACCATCGTTCTTGTGTCATTCAGAAAACGGTCGAGTCTACTATTTCATTAAATAGACGAAAGGAGAGGAAACCTTATGAAACTAAAATATTGAGTCTTCTAAGGCTCTGAAGGAAAAACTCAAAAAGATTCAATAACTTTCGCAGGACGCAATAAGAACCCGAATGCTTTTAGTCTTTTGGCTATCTCAATATACTCTATCGATCCACATATGAACGAACAAAAATTGAGTTGGTCACTTGAGAATGATTTCCTCGTTAGTATTGGTTTATTTTACACATTTGTTTAAGCCGTTGATTAAGAAAAAGAAAAAGAAATTCTATTACGGCAGTTGTCTTGGATGCAAGTCAGAACTTATAAAACGTTCTAGTTTAACTTGACAACGATCCACCATTTTTTAAAACAAAAATCTTATTCAAACAACTGTCTTTAGTTGTAACTATCTTTACAACTATCTTTTTTTTTTAAGCTAAATTTGAAAGGATCAACCAATATGTCTGGCTGTCACTTAAGAGAGCCACTGTTTTACATAGAAGATAGTGAAGCCCACATGGTGAAAATACTGGAACGCTGTACAATGGAATAGCAAACAAATATACGATAAAACAAAAAAGTACTGCTTTATTTTCAACAATCAGTTGCACATCCGCCAATATCCCACCTAACAGAAAAACAGTTCTATTTTTAGGAAATCGAAACAATTAGCAAGTTAGACCGTTACTAATATTTCTAACAATAAAAAGAGTAATCACTGAATAATTAGTGATTACCGTCCTTTTCTTGTTGAAAAAGACATGAGTATCAAACAATATAACATAAGTGCAGAGCATGTCGATCCTGTATATTAACGGCGCATGTACAATTGATATGTCTCCATTCTGGCGCTCACTCACACATACATATACCATTCGATAGAGAATTTCTCGCGCTACAATTTCATATATACAAAGTGGCGACGGTTCCTGAGGCTGCTTGGTATTGGAGATATTGTTATAAGCTGTTTAGTTGAAAGAGTAAACATCTGAATGTTTTTCCTGTATCGTCAAAAGAGAGACATGCCGGATCATTATCGGTGTATTGAGAAACACGATCGATATGTTGTGATCACGAATAAAGAGTCTTATAATATAAATGAGCCAGGCAATAATATATAAAAGTTTTTTCCTTTTCTGTTGAGAAAGTTTACTTTTTCTAAACCAGGAGCGAAAAAAATCGAAATTGTGCCCGTGATTCAGAAAAAAATGTTTCAACACTAGTCGATAATCAGCTAGGTCTGAATAGTGGAATCAGCGTTCCAGTTTCTTCAGCTCGGATTCAGATTTCATTAAAATACACGTCCGGATTCAGAACTGAAAATACTGATCAGCTCATTCAGCTCTGATTCTGGTGACGGAATCAGAACTGAATTTTCTAAAAGTGTAAATTTCAGATTTTTTAGGTCTAAATTCGAAGAAAAAAGCTCGTGTAAACATCAACTTTTTTCTCAACATTGAGAAGTCAAAGTGTGTTTTTTAATGTCTTTTTTATTGCATAAGCAAATCCTAAACTATTATCGTTTTCAAAAAGCAGTGTCCCTGACTAAATTTTGAATAACTCCCCCATAGAAAGAGATATCGATCTCTGGTTTTCGCAGATCGCTAGCCAACACTTTTTTGCATATAGCCATGCAAAAACACTCTCAAAAAATAAATTTAAA